CACCTCTCACTCTTTCTTATAGGATCAGTGTTGCTTATCTTTGTTCCTCTCATTTTTACTGTTGGTTTCCACAAACGTCTTGGCTGCGTATTTGTGAACGAGTGCCTGCAGGTCCATCAGGCAGAGGCAGGGGCTGGCCCTGCAGCCTTTGGAAGGCGTGTGGTCCATGCTGATGGGGAGGTTTGGTTTACGTCAACAGTGCAGAGCTTGTGGGCAGGCTGGTGCACTTCAGTGACGTCCCTCACGGTCAGAACTGCCTTTCCTTGCCATTTCTTTCGGTCTCTCTGACTGTGTGGAGGTCTGAGCTCCCCAGGCTGCTCCCTTCTCTTTCAAGCATCAGCATCCACATGGGATTGGAGGCGGGGACGCCAATGGCCGGCTCCTCCTGAACGCGTCCCTCAGCTCGCCGTGCCTGCCTGTCACAGCTGCCCGATGGAGCGTGGGGCCGCCCCACCTTCACTGCGGCTCTTCTGCTCTGCATAACTTGTGGGCCCCAAAGGGAGACCCGGGCTCAGTTATCAGTACACAAGGCAGCTACTTGGACAATGTGTTTTTCCTCCTCTTCCCCAAGCCCAGGGCAAAACCTGACATGTAGATCATCACACTTCTAGCATTTCAATGTATGAAATGTAGTCAACATTCCAAGACTGGTGAAGCAAGGCCCCTGAAGGGAGGACCTCGTACCCCCCCCGAAACTCCAGAGCACTAATCGGGGCTGGACATACATACAGCTGACCCAGTAATGATGGTTCATGAGCAGTACAAGAAGCAAAGCAGTAAGGTATCCAAAAGTCAACACTGACATACATTTAGGTATTGTCATATTTGAAATGTGAGATGCATTATGAGCATATACTAGAAAATCAAGAGAAACATCTGAATAAATATTCCCACTAACAAGAGTTCAGTACGATGACTGGATATAAAAAATATAAAAATCACGAGCTTTCTTATTTCTTGCGAAGTAGATGAGATAATAGACAGCCCCCTTCTCCCCCGCCCCTCTCCCAAAAAAGATTAGCCTCACATTTCATCAAAAATTATAAACTAACAGAATGGATTGGCACGATACATCTAAATGAAGAAAAGTGTTAAAATTTTACTGAGGAATATATATATTAGGTTTGAATAAATTGGACAAGACTTGTGTTCCATGACAAGAAGCTCAATATAGTAAAGATGTTAGTTCCTCCACAATTAACTGATAGATTAAAAGCATTGCCAATTAGTCACAATGTGATTATTTTTTGGGGGAAGGAGGTTTCAAATTACTCTGAAGTTTATTGGAAAAAATAAATGAGTGGCAATAGCCAAGAACAACAAGAAAAAGAGAGTAATATTACTACCAGATATAAACTGAATCATAAATCTAAGACACTGTGGTAAATCCATATATGGTAACACAATGTGGAGACAGTAGGTCAACTGAATAGATTCTCAAGCCCAGAAACAGTGATTTCGATTAAATGAGTTAGGTGTATAATAAAGGTGCCACACACAGTCATAAGTAAACAGTTCGACAGAGAAAGGACAATTAGTAATCTATTTGAAAAAGGAGTTTAATTAGATTTCCTATTGTGCATAATTGACCCAAACAAATTAAAGGTAGATTAAAGGCTAAATATTCTTAAGAAAGAAACAATAATAAAAATGTAAAACTCAGAAATACATATATATGAATTGTGATCTGTTTTCAGGATTATTAAAGGCCTTCTAAATATCTAAAGTAGAAACTGCAGAACACTTATGATTTGATTATATGTATATATTCTTGATTACATATTAAAAAGGGGAAAACCTCTATATGTAAATAAGACCATAAACTTTAAAAAGCAAATAATAAACTGGGAAAATACCTGCAGAACATATTATAAAGTGTTAATATCCTTAACATATAAAGAGTTCTTATATACCAATAAGAAAAAGATAAACACCCCTAGTACAAAAATGGGAAAAGATACATCTAAACAATTGCAATGTGAGAAATACCTGTGATCAACAAGCATGAGATGGTCAACTTTAGCATTAACTGAAAAAATCCAAATAAACAAAGTGTGAGGTATTTTTAGTATAGATTCCAAAAACAATAACAGCAATGCTAGCAAGTGTGTGTGGGTGAAATGGGTACTCACTTTAGAGATGGAAGGGCATTTGTATAACAAAACCCCTCTAGGAATTAATTTGGAAATGTGTACCAAGAATCTTATAAATGTTTATATCCACTGACTGAATCACTTCACTTACAGACATTTATTCTAAGACAGTAATAAGTGTTATACACAAGGATTTAGGTACATGCACGTTATCATGTCTATGTAAATGAAAAAGTTACTAAAAGGGAAGGCACAGAACATTGATCTAGTCCAGTAACTGAGATAAGAAAACAAATAAAAACGAAGAGCATAAAAAGAAACATCTCCATGTTAACTTAGACCTCCAGAACAAAACAGCAGAATTCAAATGAGCTGAGAAAGAAGAATACAGTTAAGTAGCATTTGGCAAACAGCTCTAAAATAGCTAAAATAATACCTAGTTTTAGGTCAAAGTCCACCACTTAAAATAACATCAATGTACTTCAGGTTAAATTTGCTGGGTTGGAATTCTTCATGTGAGTGAGCACCTACGAACAAGCGGACAGGGGGTCACCAGCCCATGACATCACCTGCACGCAGAGACGAGGATGCCATGTCCCTGAGCACCGCCACGACCACGAGGCACTTTCTTTCCCCAAAGTGGCACTGTGCTCCTGTGGTCATACCTCCGTTTCCCTACTTGTGATCTAAAGAAGATGAAAAATCCAGCAAGCTCCCTTTAAGAGGAATTAACTTGGCTGAGGGTTGGAAGAACGTGCCGTAATCAGCTGAGCGTGGGAGCAGGGAAAGGGATTCGGCACTGCCCCAAACCCTCCCACCCACCCAATGCGAGGGCATTCAAGAGAAAGAAATGGGCACTAAAGGAATGTTCCTTTAGCTGAGGCCCAGGACATGAGCTACTCCACGCATATGGTAAGGTTACATGGCATTTTGTATTTTCTGTTTACCAAACGTTACATTTTCCTGAGGAAAACAGGGGGCAGTTCAGCACCAAAGAACATAAGTCTCAAGATTAAAAAACTCAAACTCCAAACATTACATCTGCAAAACTCCTTCAAATCACTGAGGCTCTTCCCTCATTCTCGTGCCTGGCAGACTCCCATCCTTTCTTTACACCCAGCAAAGCACCCCCCCCCAAGCCCTGAGCCTTGCCCCACCTCCTAGGGGAGACTGGACTCATCACCCCTGGGCCTTCAGGCTCCCTTATGTATTCGTACCATGACCTGCTGCAAAGCCCTGCCTTTACCTGTCTGCTGGTCTTTCTTCCCCACCAGAGGGTGATATTCTCGAGAGTAGAGATGGGGTCTTAATCTTCCGTGTCCCCAGGGCCCAGGACCATGGGCATACATCAGAAATGCCATAAATGTTTATTGACGTGAATAAATAAATGGATGGATTTGGCATGGTGGGTTAGAAGGAGAAGTGGAAAATTAGCTGGTTTTAAGGTGATGGCCTTGTGTATAAGTTCTGGAGATCAGGGTCTCCACATCCACAGCATACACAGTTCCTGGCATAGGACAGGTGCTCACTAAATATTTTTTGAATAATTAATAAATAGAAAGTAATGAAGACATCAGCTTTTCATTCAATACAGAACTCCCCCCACCCCCCGACCTACCCCGGGCACTTCTTTTCTCTCTTCCTATTTAGCACAACCATCCTGAAAAGGGAAATTTGATGTATGTCTTGGAAGGAAGGTCAGCAGGTCGTGGGAGACCTTATCACCATTCTGGAATGAACTGATGTCTCCCTTAGCAGAAAGCCCAGTTTTCTTTGGATTTTTAATAACAGCTGATGTTTGTATTATACTTTATGAGCTTCCCAAAACTTTCATATGTGTTATCTTACCTGTCATCACATCTCTGTGAGGTAGGCAGGTCAGGCAAGATCGGCCTAACTGACCGAGTTAGTGGTCCAACGCCACTTGGTATCATGCAGTAGAGCCCCAGTGGACCCCAATTCTGGCCCCTTTCTACTACCCTGCTTTCACCAATCAACGCTGTGTATGGCACAGAGCCATGGGGTCAGCACCATCCCTCTTTGAAAGCACCTGACACCTCAGAAGGGGAAAAATGCAGCAAAGACCTATCCCAGAAAGTACCAAAGGACAGTAATTTATTTTGAGAAGACTGATGTATGTCAAAGAGAAGAAAGGGACTTTTTGCTGGAGAAAACAAATCCGTGTGTGGAAGTGTGTTAGAAGGAGGACTCAGGCCTTTTCTCTGATAAGTAATCACTCGAAGGTCAAAGCCAGAGGGCAACCATTTGCAAAGATTCTTTAACAAAAACGAACCATGACATTTTGAATGGCCTGCAATTGCACACCAATGGCCAGAAATTTCTAAACACATCTAGATTTGAGAAAACACTTTTCTCTGATCCTGAATTAAAGAGCAAATTCTCCTTTCAAAAGAGAATAAAGAAAACTAAAGTTCTGTCAAAGAATGACATAAAAGTTACAATATAAAACCGAGAGAATTTAAAGTTGAGGTCCGACAGTTTCCTTTCAATCTTGCTCCAAATAGCTCTTCCACTTTCATCCACCACTTGGTCACTACAGATACACACGAGCCTGTGATACTCTCACAACTCATTTACATACTTTAGATGGCTCTTAAATCCTCAATCATATGCAAAACTCTACTTCCAACTACACAGCTCTGGGAAGACCTCGTGGTTGGTTTGAGACCGTGACTCAAGATGGCGCCACATGCTACCAGGCGGTCCCGGAACCACAGGCAGAGGGGAAACGACCACCCACAGAAGAGAAGAGGTTTCTAAACCTTAATGTACAATGTTAATGGTTCCAACCGCACTTCACCTCCGAGGCTCCACACTGTCCTGCAACCAGCCGCATCTACTGCTGCCATCACACTGGATTCTTGCGCGGGTCTGCCATAAGCTTACCTGAATTTGGTGAGATGTGTAAACTGCTCATGTCCTTGGACAGGCCGTTAGTTTTAGGGCTGGAGATGGGCGCGCAGGCCGACGTGGCTCGGGGTGGCCTCTTCCCTGGGACTTTCACAGTGGTTCTCAGAAGATCAATCTCTTTACCATGAACGTTCTGCATGTAATCCTGTTCAAAATGTTAAACATCCAAGAGAGATTAAAAAGAAAACCTCGTACAATCTAGGACACAAGGTTCTATCAGACACCACAAGCTGCAATCCTATGACCCTTCCACTGTGGCAAGCACTTTAAAAATAATGAGGTTTTGATCTGTCAAGGATGGTGGCATCATCAATATACTGAAATCACAGCCTCTGTGTCCTGAACTAGCCCAGACCCTGGAAATACAAGGAGACACAGGAAATGCTTCCATCGGGGGGATGACACACCAGCTGGAGAAAATAAGTATCCATATGAAATCGTATTTTTTTAAACTGCTGCTTATTACAGGGCACACTAGGACCCCAGGATCTTCCTCTAAGTTTCAGGTAAAATTCCATGCAATAGGAATATTTTGTAACAACTGTTCTGTCTCAGATGCCAATACCACTAAGTGCCTAGACAAGAATGAAGCTCAGGTGGAAACTAAGTAAAAGGTCAAGCATTTCACTAAGGACCAGGAAAATGTCCGAGAGGTTGGTGGTATGGTGTTGAGAAAACACGGAGCTCACGGATGGATGTGTAATAGCTGGGTGTGTGAAAAAGAAAGAACATTGAGTAAGTCTCGTACTCGAGCATTGTGTTTCTCCAAGTGGTTCACTATACTCAGAAAAAGTATCTTGCTGTTCTCTTCATGCTGGAGGTGAATGACCAGCAGCTAACAGGGAACCACAGGGAAGCTAAGACAGTGATAGTCTCTGTGGAGGTCACCTGACAACATTTAAGTGTGGAGTAAAACAACACCCAAGGATTGGTTGCTGGGTGGGGGAATGGAGGAGGCAAAGGACAGCCAGGGTAAGGGGCCTAGTGGTGAATTAGGAATTACTGGACCTCCAAATACAATTTTTGGGCAAGGTGCCCTCTTGCCTCTGTAGACATATTAAATGGACCTCACACATTAAGAAAGGACGTATTCGAAAACACTCTTGGGTAAGTAACATCTCAAGTGTTTTAAGACTAAGCATGAAATGAAATAAACACATTCCTTCCTTGGCAGAATACTGGTAGATTCCTTTTAGAACACAAAGGAAAAAAGCCAATAAATGTGTAGTTAGTATAAACAATTAAGTTCTTAGTCCATGTAATTTCAGAACTGCCAAATGAACCAGCCTGTGGGCTGCAAGGGACCCAGGGAGGCTGGAAAATTGAGCTGTTTGCTTGTAAATGCTAACCAACAGTCAAGAGATGCAGAGAGAGCCAGAGAAAGTTCTAGAAGCAAAGTGTAAGGGACAGAAGCCCCAGCCTGTGGGATGAGGAATGTCAGCCTTAGTGTATCAAGGAAGCCTGAGGGGCCAAGAGAGTGGCAGGGAAGCCGAGATGAGGATCCCAGTGGCTTCTGGGAAGTAGGCTGAGGATCTTTTAATTGTAGGAGAATGTTCACGTTCCAGCAGGTGAAGGGGTTGGGAATCAATTTCGGGTTCATCAAACAGCAGGACGACTGCTGACAGAAGCAACGATACAAAAAGGAAGCAGAAGCACAAGATTCCAACACAGGGGAAGGAACCCAAAGGTGGGACCTCAGGACGGAGAGTGTAAGAAGAGGTGTCTTCTCTCTGCCATCAAAACCCGCTACATAAGCACTTGGGGGAGGGGGTCACATGGGATCCAACCCAGACTCAGGAAAGAGGGTGCAGGAATTCTCAGCAGTGGAGGAGGGCAAAAAGAGAAACTCCAGAATGTGAGTGGCCACGGTGGGGGAGATGTTCTGATGGAGAAACACACAACTATAGAAGATTCGAAAATCACCAGCCCAGGAGGAAAAGACGCTACAGGGTCTCTAGTGACTTCCTAAGGAGAGAACTCAAATGGCCAATTCTTGGTGCAGAATGAACGCTAAAAAGCCCACGCAAGGCTGGAGCCAGGAGGAACATGGGACCAAAGACCACTGGAGAAAGGATCCGGGGCTGCACCTAAGGGTGGGCAGATACAGATCAGCTCTTCACTGGGAGTGGGGAGGCCACTGTCAGCAGTTGATAAACCATCCAGAGAGATATAGTGGGGTCCACAAATCTGCTGTCAGCCATGGCAGCCAGGAGCAGAGGCCCCAGTGCACCCTGACCCCACAGGACAGGCTAGCTGGCGTTCGTCTCTGCCATCTTGACAGACCCAAGACTCCACATGGAAGTCAAGGTGCTTGGGAAGCTCCCCAAAATATAATCGACCGTGAAAGAGCTACAGTTCTGAAAGGATGTGGACCAAAGACAGAAAGTTATTACCATTAAATTAGACTGAAAGATAAGACAGACTGGAAAAATTACAGGGAACCTCATGAATGAGCTTGGGGTGTTGAGGACGGTGAACGAAAAGCACAAGGGAAGTGATCCTTGGTTACTGTAGGGCTGAGGGTCAAGGTCATTTACAGAGAAAAAAAAAAAAAGGTTGTTCTTAAACATATTTAACTTACTTCCATTAATATCCCCCGAAAATAGGCCAACCTAAGCTTCGTCACCGAAGTTAAGGCTTGTAAATAATAAATTCATTCTCGCATAGTAACTCTTTCAAAAATATCAACTTGCTATAACTTTCTTCTTTAATGCCAATTCTTAACAAATTAAAATACAATAACAGGAGTGTAATTGAGCATTTATTGCTTATGGGCTCTAAAATGAGGCTAATCAGATAGTGACTAAAGCCTCAGCATGGGCTCTTTTAATAGGCATGTTTTAACATACAATAACCAGGATATTTTATTCAAAATTATTATAGAAATTGTACCAAGTGTCTGCTCTTTGGATTTGAATGCGGCAAGGGAACACATTTATCTTTGGCTCAGCATGGGCCAGGGAATCTGTTTTCTCGCTTGAGTTAGGCGCCGAAACTTCAGAGGAACTAGATCTAAAAAAACCAGGATATAAACTTGGCAATTCTTACAGTGCAAGCCACTAACATTTTTATAAATCTTACAAAATGCACTTCCTAATCCATAAAAGCCCTTCAACGTGGTGCTTCAGAAACAGGTGGAATGCAAAGGCGCGCGTATGCAGCTTCAGGTTTCCCCCAAGAGAAACGACGCTGAGTTTTCTGTTTTTGAAAGAATCCAGCCTTTTCATCTCTCCCCAGCTTGGTACTTGAGGAATTAAAGCTAGGACCACTAACCAATGTTGCCTCCTCAGAAGTGGGACGTGCCGCCCTACGGGTCTGAGGTAGGGACCTCGCTGGGTGAAGTAAAGACAGCAAGCTTGATTTTGATATGCAAATGTTACAGATAGTACCCTTCTCCTGTTCCTTGTAGAAAATGCTGATCGATGATAAAAGGGGAAAAAACCCTTTAACAAGGCATGAGGGTAATTCAAAGCCAAGTACTTTTAAACAGCACTTAACAAGTCCCTGGGGCCCACTCAAGAGCCAGGCCCCCCAGAGGTGTCATCTCCTGCCCCTCAACAGCTTGAAAAAGTAGTAATTGCAAACCTATTTGCATTTTTCTTCTCAAGTTGTCCGAGCTCGTCGTGCGGATTATTTTTTCCAAGCAGGTGCTGGAGCAAAGGGACCCGTTGCTGAACGTGCCGATGGCTCGGGAGCCGTGCACGGCGTCCCCCTGCAAGCCCACTCCTGCACCTTTGCATCCCTTGTTTTTTACCTCTCTCTCCTAATTATGTTGCATCTATTGCCGTACACTTAATTAGCTGCATTAATGTGATTTCTTTTCACATAGTCAAGCAATTAAGAGCTATGATTGAGTTTCATTCAATTAGCCTCAACAAACATGCTAATTGATGTCCCAGATGCAAATGAGGTGCAATGAGAGAAACCTGCTAGCAATTGAGAGCCCTGTCAGAGACCCACAGCAGCTTCCAGCTTGCTGACAGTAGCATGGCTTAACGCGGCTCCCACCTTCTGGGGGGCTGCCTTCAGAGAGGGCCATGGAGTCATTAGTGCCGTGGTGTACGGGATCTCTCCGGATACGGAGAATTAATTGATTTGCGGCTGTACAATCTAGTCCTCGAGTCTCACGGTCCTGCGTTACCAGGACCTGGAGGCCATCAACTGGCTAACACGGTGCTTGGGCAGGGAGAGTAAGCCCTCACCCAAATACCAATGAGGCTACTGGAGCAACCCAGGAGTTCTCCCCAAAACTGCAGAAGGAAGGGTGTGGAGGTCTTGGCTTGGCCATCCCAGAGCCCTCTCCGTGCGTGATGGCCTTACGGTTCTCAGTAAATGGTGAGTTCATCTTAGTCAGCTCTGGGGCATCTGGCGCTTGGACTTAAGCTCAAAATACAGCAATCCATCAATAGTCCCTAAAAATACTCTTACTATATTGATTCTCACTGCCTCCCATCCCGGCGTTACCTTTGGCTGTCTGCTGAAAGATGGGTTTGCTTGATGTGTTCACGGGGGTACCAAAAGCAGTTAACAAGATCTTAAAGCCAACCCCAAATGCAGAAATGGTATGACTGGCACCTCGGAATGAGAGCATCTGAATAAAACACACGGCTTTGCAACTCTACTTTCTTCTAAGTATAGATAACGCAATCAACACCGCTGTGATTTTACACAGACTTTTTAAACAGTATGAAGACTCTTCATTTCATCATTAAATGATGGAAAAAAAATCACAGAAATTTTTGTTCCAATTAGGTTTTGTTCCAGTTAAGTCCTGGTTTCTAATTGTACATAAGTGCTTAGAAATGTAATATATTAACACGTAACACATTTTGTCTAGGTTAGATAATCATTAGCACAAACTGATACTTGCCATGGCCAATATATTGGATTTTTCCTCTTTGCATGACCTAGCTTGGCAGTCCTCAAGGTGTGGTCCCTGATACCCTATCCAGGGGTTCACACGTTCAGGGCTATTTTCAAAACATCCCAAGACACTGGTTTGCCTTTTCCAGACTTGAAATTTGTTTTTATGGTGACTAAAACTGCTAGTTCCAGAGCATATACCCAGGCAGTGGAACCAAACTGTACTAGTCCCTATTGTCAGTATTCATTGCCATGCTCTCTAAATAAAAACAAAGTTTCATT